TTTTAAAAAATTTTAAAAATAATATTTTTAAACAATTATAATCGCTTGCAGTTAACAGTTCTTTATTATCATTAAACTGTAAGAAAGTTATTGGAAACTTTAAATATTGATAGCATTGTGTATTTTTATTCTTTGTTATTTTTTACACACGATTGCAATTTCCTCGAATCACGCGCATCAAATAGATGCTTGGAATACAATTCACGTTAGATTCGCCGAATCGCAAGCGGATCAAGAACACTAAACGAAGAAAATGAAATGTTACCTGGAGAAACAACATGAAACAGACCCACTGGTAGTATCTGTACTCCTTCCTCTCGCTTTCGGAATATGATTTGGAATTGTCGATGCCGGGAAAGGGCACTTCCGAGCCTTCCTTCTTCCGATACGCCGCCGTTATAGTGTACGTGCTGTGAATCCAGCAGTAAGTGTTCAAAACATCCTCCGGCAGATCCTTGCTGTGTATGCAATCAATGGGATTGCCGACGTACTGGCGGGTGGTGACGATGAGGGAGAACGCTATCAGCAGGATCACGGTGAGACTGTAATGCAGGCGAAAAACGGCGCTGTCGGTATGAATATGCGAGATTTTTATAAGGCTCTTGAGACTGCGAAATATGTCGAGCATCTTGGTATCGAACGATACCAAGAAGAGATCAGGCTACGCCGGGCAACGGCGATCTCCCAGTATAACGTCTCCAGGACTGCGAGTCCCTCTACATCACGCTCTCCTATATCTTCCACCGTTTCCGGTCTTGAAATTGCTCAACCGGGTTAAAACTTCAGTCTCCCCTCCACTTTTTTCACTTTCGAGCGCAGCACTCGAATCCGAAACCAAAATCGCGAAAACGCGCACGGATGTTCGCTAAAAATCGCTAAATGCACGCATTTTTCTGTCCACATTTCCCAACACACACCCCCCTCTGTAGTTCCGAAAAAAAATTTATTTCACTACATCACTTGTTCCATTTTCTTCGATCACTGTCCTTGCGATCATCTTTGGTTTATGAGAAAAATATTTTTTTGATCAACAAAAAGAAAAATATATTAGGGTATATATTTTATATGCATTGCTTCGGCGATCACTCTTTGGTACATTATTAGCTATATATTTTGTAAATCCTTTGGTCGATCGAAAATTATATGAATCACTATTACCTAACTTATGTGCTACTTCGCGTCTCATCCTTATCATTAATATTGTCTTTCTAAGCAGTGACTATTGTTCATCTTTGACATTTAATTTTTTGAAAAAGTTAGCTTTACACTTCCAGAAAGAAATGTGATACAATCGTCCCCCGCGAGTGTTTCTCTTCTTTTTTCGCGTTTATTCCATCGTATCTTAGTCTTCTTTGAAGTAAAATCGTCGCACAAATAATCCCTCGATCGCCGAATCGTGCGTGATCGGCGTTTACGGGACCCTTCGAATAATCCGTATTTTATGGCGATAGTCCTCCCGCGCATTCTTCTCTTATTCTTATCACACGTTTGTATCGTAGTTTCTAATCTCGACTGTTCGGGTACACGAATATTCAACATTCGACATCATCGTCCTCGGTGACACGAGTAAATTTGTCGATCTCGCATATTACCGTGAGCTGTCGATTCGAGGAATAGACCGAACGAAATGCGAGCTCCTAAAATACCTTATCTCGCGATCTCCCTTTGGTATTCTAAAGAGAAGCACAAGAGTGTCCAACTTTACGATTCCGCTGCCTTTCAAATATATAAAATTACAAAACATCGCGCGCGGTCGCAAAAAAAATTACGCGCCATTAAATATTGACAAGAGTCCTTCGCGGTTTACCGAAATTTCACTGCGATATTCTCGGAAAGTGTCCATGAAAGAGAGAGGAGAAAAATTTTTATGATACGTCTCGTTCTCGGGACCATGCACGTTTCGTCTTACGTTTAATGTCGCAATAAAGTCACCGTAAATTCCTCATCGTTCTTCTTTCTTTATTTTTTTTTTTTTATTTTTGAGAGTGCCAAGAAAAGAGAGCACGAAAATGATTAGTGTTATCGAAAATCCGACGCTGTCATCGTCCGATTCGGAAGCGTCGGACTTTTTGAAGCAAAGAGAGAACGGATAGCATCTTGGAAAATTTCGGAGAAAGCGCACGAAAATATCCGCTCTTAACTCATCGCGTTGATATGCGTCTTCACTCTAACCGGAAATCTAATTAAATCAGTCATTATAAAGGAGCGTGTGTAAATGAAAAGCAGAACCGCACCGTATTAAAAACTATTATTACGCATAAAATGTACAGTATCGATATTCTGAATATAATTCTATGTATTTTTAAATATAGCACACTTATCTGCTCTTTGAAAATTAGGATCTTTCTGATTAATTCCTGATTAATAGTAAAAAAGATCGATTCTTTTATATTTGATCGGATTTTTCTTGGCCGCGAGAGAAATCAGATTATCCGTTCACCAAGTAAAAGCGAATTGATTCTATTTGACAAATTTGTGGACAAATTTTCGCGCGTACGCGTTATTTTCGCGTTGATTTGTTTCCGATTAGTTTCAAGATCAAGTACGAGCCGATTAATTTCACGATAAAATATTGTCCTCTTACAAATCCGTGCTCGCTCGTGAACCGATGAAATTATCGCGTCCTCGAGGCGACGCTAAACTCGGAAACTGTACTTAATGCTGTAGACGGAATTTAAGTAATTTCCTTGGCAAAGAGAGAGAGAGAGAGAGAAACTCGGAAACTGTACTTAATGCTGTTGACGGAATTTAAGTAATTTCCTTGGCAAAGTGAGAGAGAGAGAGATATGTATCGTCATACGCATTCAACGCCTCCGGAGGAAGCTCTTTGTTCGATGTTAGGAAAGTATAAGGGTTTTCCTCGACTCGGTAAAGTTGTGTTGCATTGGGTCTGTGCCAAGATAGGATGCGCTCGCTGTAACCATTTTAGAGTTGAAACATTTTTGGGAAAATAAAAACATTTTACACTTGTTTCCGCGCTTGCTCGCGTGGACGTTTTATCGATGTTTTAACGGGACGACGGTGTATGGAATAGAAATGAGAAACGTTGAAACGTGCCAAAATTATCAAATGGTTCAAAACATCGAGAAACGATCTATGCTACATTAAGAAAACTTTTCAAAGGCGAATGTATATTCTGAATATTCCTCGCGATGAGTCTACTCGCACATGTCATTGGCGATGTACATTTGTTCAAGAAAAATCCAGAGAAATAAAAAAAATAGATGACGTATCTACGTAATATTCGGCAAAATAATATTTAAAAATTAAAAAAATACTGTATCTATCAAGCTATTATTCATTGTTGATACGTGAGTACATTCCTGTGTGCGAATCAATTTAAAAAGATTTTCTAAATAATTTTAATCAACAATTATATCCGCATTTAGTTACTAGAGTCAGATGGACAAGAATAGAAAAATACGATATCAATGCAATATATTTTCCTCATTTCTGACGATTAACTATCAATTTCCTGCTAATTTCGCGCAACGATGGATAAACGTAGATAAGACGTTAAATCTTGAATATTAGCGTCGTCTCCAAAGCGGATATCCGGCAGTCCCGCCTTTCTTATTTGACTTCGCGTAGATGAGCATCGAACGCGCGGCGCGTAAATACGAGACGCGAATGTCGGGAGAAACTTTTTCCAGATGCGGCTGAGCGATAGGGAGTATCGCGCGGATGATAAGTGAGACAAGTGGTACCGGCGGATACACAACGAGCACGAGGATTGCGAAGTCTCGAGCGAAATGTGCTCGAGGGGGCCCTTGCTTTATTTATAACCGACCCCTTGCGTGTGCGCGCGCGCGCGCGCGCGCGAGGGGTCTCTCGTAATTTTTTCTCGTCTTCTCTTCTCTTCTCTCCCCCGAATCCCATTAATGCCACGAGCCGGCGGGCTCGAAAAGCGAAACGATCGAAAACTCCGCGGCAATTAACGCACCGGCCACTTCAAAGGCCAATATCTGTGCCCCGATTACTCGAGCCACTCGTACATTTCGTTACAAAACGGGCACGGCCGTCCCAAAAATGAACTCGGGCTAAACACAAGAAAATTAGGAGACCTGTAATTCTCTGTTTGAGGCGTGCGCGCTATTCTATTTTAGCGTTTATCGCATGCGACTGCACTTTGCTACTACATGCGAAATCGCCCGGCGGCGGCGAAGAAGCGAGTATAAGCTCGGAAATACCTGAGGGCAAAGTGAAGAAAAAGAGAGCGAGAGAGAAGTGCACTTACGCACGAGGAAAGTTTTACAATATATAAATTACATGAAAAATACATTCCCTTTTACAATATTTACTGTCGCCGATCATTCCGATCGAAGAAAGATCGTAATTTTAAAATTGAATATTACTGAATTTAGATTTACAATTTTTAAACTGCATTTACCTCAGATGACTAAACATTGATATTTTTAAGCCTATAGCTCGTATCGAAAACGACATGTAAAAAAAATGCAAAATTATGATATGATTTTACGCTATTAAATAAGTGGATGCTAATTGTTAGGCGAAGAGTGTTCATTAAAAGATTATGCGAGTTAGTTTATATTTTAATCTGACATATTTTGATATAAAATATATTTTATCTAACATATTTTAATATAAAATGTATTTCATATCAAACACTAATAAAAATACTTATTTTATATCAAAATATGTCAGATTAAGATATAAAATAACTGGAAAAATACTTAATGAAGGAATACTTTATTATATTATTGTTTTGAAAATGTCTCAAGAAGGGCTATAAGAACATGCAATAAAAAATACGGGGTTCCATTAAAAAAAATAATAGTGATCCTTATAACTTGAAAAGGTTACAAGTAAAGAAAATTTTGTTACATGTGCTTTATGCGGACGAACAACTGTGCTAATTCCTCTTATTAAATTTTCTTGTAACTTCAATCAGTTGTGAGGTATTTGCTCGGACATTTATGGACGGACACTCTGTATATATTTCTATCGAAAAATGTTTTCGCGAATATTTAATCCGATTGCAAGCGAGTGGGACTTGTGTGCGGGTATCCCCGCAGTGCAAATCGAATCTTAGTACCTTCTGCATCTTCTTGTCTCTACAAGCTCATCCAGAATGTTTATCATCTGCGTTCTTTACAGTGGAATTAAGTATGGATACTATGCCGCGTTCCGACTTTTTTAGCCTTTAAGATGCCATTGCAGGCATACCTTGGGAAGTACCGTTGGTAATCGTGCAAAGTCCTTCGGATCTTGCCGGCATTATTCGCCAGATTTTATCCGACGCGATATTCAAAGAAGCTTTTGCAGAAAATCTAAGATATAATCCGTGAAAGGCACTCGAAAACAAAAATAATATATTCTAAAGAGAATAATACATAACTAAAATATTATATTGATTTTTATTAATATTAATGAATACATTATTAAAATAATTTGATAAAATAACAGAGAAATAAAATAATATGCATTATATTACAGATATTTAATATTATTAGTCATATATAATTTTATTTTTGTAGAGGTCAATATATGAAAATTTGTATGCAGAATAAAACTAATTAAGCAGAACGAATATAACTGCGGGAATAAAAACAAACAAGATGAAATTAAATTAAAGTAATGCCATATTTAAGTTGGAAGCTAATTGTGAAATGTATATAATAAAATTTTTAAAATTTGTCTAAGATATTCAATTAATAATTAAACATATTAAATTAAATTGTTATAGATTTATATAAGAAAAAATCAAAGCATTTCAAAGATTTTTTTTTTTTTTTTTTTTTAAATTGAGAATTATACGTGATTACAATAATCCCTCTTTACCCCCCTGGAGAGACGAAGGCGAGAAAAATATCGGGGCGAAGTCGCTGAATCGGGAATCGACCCCGAGTCTTTCGCTTGCCGGGCAACTGCTCTTACCACTGAGCTATTCAGACCTCGCACCTTACGCCACTCTAACACAGTACATACGACTCCAGAGCGATGTTGGAAT